ATCTTAGGCCCGATGGCTGACCATAGTTATCTTTTTCTTCCAAGGCCGGCTGGCTAGTTAGTCACAGCTGTGAACTCCTGTTTTTCTGATTCCTGCAGAATGGCGTTTCTAAGGCCAAGTTATTGGGGGGGCATAACATCGGCCCAACGCCCCATATCCTCATAATGGAGCGGGGGTCTTTCACTATATCCACAATAAATAAGTGTAAAAACATTTTTAAATTAAAAATTAAAAATAGATTCAACACTTCAGTCGACATTTTTAGAGAAGGTATGTGCATGGCTGATAAGCATATGAAAGTTGCTCAACACCACTGATCTTTATGGAACTGTAAAAGGCCACAGTGAGATATAACTTCCCTGGATCCATTAGCCTAACCCAAGAAAAAGAGACTGACCTCTAGGACAGGCTATACAATACAATTCAATGTGCCACCAGTAATTATATTTTCACGGAGTATTACCTTTGGGAAACGTTCTAGAATTCTAACTTAGGATCCTATTTCTGAGGGGAAAAAAGGCAACTATGTCTCAGTGGAAAACATATACATAATGTTGATTGGGGAACAAGCAGGTGTGAGTTTTTTGTTTTGTTTTTGTTCATCTGTATTTTCTAAATGTTTAATCCATACACACTATACGATGAAAAGAAACACATTTATTTTTACATAACTGTGAGGAGGTACTCAGTTGCCAGCACCCATCACATACTCAGTCGCCAGCACCCATCATCATCTACTTGTTTATCCACATCACTCCCTGCTTCCCTACTTCCAGCCTGATCTCTGGGTAAGCCAGAGAGCACCTTTGCAACCACCTTGGAGTTTCCACAGGAAACACAAGCTTCTAACCAAAATCATATTTCATCTGTTTTGTTTTTTTTTTCTTTTCATCAAGGTGGATCCAACCGAAGAGAAAGGGGCGCCCCACCCCTTCCTCCCATCCCGAGGTGATCTCTGCCTGCTCCTCTCTACCCAAGCTCCAAAGCTGCTTGTGTTGTTGCTGTTTGAAATCCGCACGCCCCCTCCCCTTCCTCTGTCCCTCTCAGAGACAGTAGGAGGGAAGAACGAAGCGGCGGGGGAGGGGGGGTACGTGCGTTGGTGGGGGGAGGGGATCAGGAAAGATGCACCTAGCTGTTTATGTTGTATATAGTCTTAAGCTATTGCTTGCGTCAGCGGCAACCTGCCAGGGTTGGCTGCTGGGATTGATAAGCTTTTGTTCCAAGTAGGCAGAGACGAACTGTATCCCAGCTTTCGGCCCCAGACGTTCAGACGTTCGGTCAGACGTTCACTGCTTATTTGCTACAAGCTGCGGTTGTTCAATTCCCCAAGAGCTGGTTTTGTCCATGCCTTTCTCGCTCACGTGGCTTCCGGTCGGTTTCCATGAACCACAGACCGCCCGAGCAAGTTGCTTAACAAGCCTCACATAAATGAAGCCCTGTGGTTATCCAGTATCCAATCTTTGGCAGCCTGAGGTAGGCTCCAGGGCAGAGTTGTCTAACAGAAACATACTGTGAGCCCCATACCTAATCTTAAAATGACCAGCAGCCATGTTTTGTAAAGATAGAAAACAGGTGAAAAGAATTCCATTTTTCTTAACTCTGTGCATCTGAAATACCACGTCGACCTGTAATCAGTATAGAAATTATGAGATATTTATATTTTGGTACTAACTCTTCACACTCCAGCGATCATTCTGTACTTAGAACAAACACATCACCAGG